TTAGTGTGTGTGTGTGTGTGTGTGTGTGTGTGTGTGTGTGTGTGTGTTTGAGGTTTTAGCACGATGTTGACTCTGAGTTTTGTCTCCTGCAGCTCACTCCAGTCAACTCCAGTGTGGGACTGATAGAAGCATCAGATGTTGATTCAGAGCCGCTGTACTATCGCTTGGAGCCTGCAACAGTAAGAAGACGTTTGACGTGATGATGTAGTGACACTTGACTCACATGTTATATCTTAATTATAGAGAGCAGCAAGATACTGAGGGAACTTCAAGATGTGCTGTATGTTTATTAATGATGTGTTTGTAGGGGACAGCGCACATTATACTTTTTGTATTACATTTTCATGACATAGTTGGCATTGCAGAGACTCGAAGCTCCACAGAGCCGCACTCTGAGTTTAGCCTGAATTCATTTGATTGTAAATCTCTTCATAACTTTATTTGGAAAGATGCTTTATAAATATAGTTAATTATAATATATATTCTTTAAATCTTATATATATATATATATGTATGATATATTTCCTATTTCTCTCTGTCTGTTAAACCAGGATAAATACTTTCGTCTGGAAAACATCAACACTCCAAAGATAATTGTGAAAAGCATCTTGGACTACGATGTCGTGCAGAAGATCTCTCTGGTTCTACACGTGCAGGTACAGTCACCATTTAATAAAACATCATTCAGGTGTGGCTGCTTCTCTGTGACCTTTGACCTGTGAATACGTGTCACATGTTCCAGGATACACTTGATGGCTCGGCCTCCGACAAGCCCTTCTTCACCTCCGTGGCCACCATCGCAGTGCAGGTGAAGGACGTCGATAACCGTCCTCCGTGGTTTCAGCCTTGTTTGAGGACCAACCTGGGAATCGCCAAACTGTGTGTGAGCAGCGGCTACAAAGGCAAAGTCAATCTCACCGAGAAGGAGGTGAGCCTCGTTTTCTGGAGTTTAAATTATAATATTTCACTTCACAGCATCTGTTCAAACACATGCAGTTCTGGTGAAAAGGAAACTTACACCGTAAGTTAACATGTTTGCTCTCGAGGTAATGAGACTTTCTTTTGGAAAAAACCCGTAATATTCTCCTAAAAGACGCTGGATTTGTTTAAAGATGAGGCACTAAAGCACATGACTTTTACTCCACAGGACGGGCCGTTGGTGCTGGAGCCCGGTCCGGTGTTCGCCAAGGACGGAGACAAGAACCGGAGCGAGCAGATCAGCTACAGAATACACCGAGGTCTGAACTCAGCAACACCATCTATTGCTATTTGCTTCCGGTCATGATGTGTTTGGTAACTCCTCTTTAACAGCACACTCATCACCAGCTTTTACTTTTATCGTCATTATCATTAGAAGTACTCGTAGTAGTAGAGGTGATCTAGTATGATTTGTAAAAACACATTTTCTCCATCACTGTGATGACGTTTTCTTTCATCGTCAGGAAATGAGGGAAATATTTTCCAGATCGATGAGGAAACAGGAAACATCTCAATGGCTAAAGCTGCTGACATCGTGGGCCCAATAACTCTCACTGTTCTGGTAAAAAGAATCTCTCTTGGCTGTTGTTCTGTGGGGATTTGAATGGAAACTCTGGATGTAACGTTGGCCCGACTCGTTTTGTCGTCCTCTCTTGGCACATCAGGCGTCACAGGTCACCAACAGGGATCAGTTCGCGGTGACGCAGGTGACCATCGACGTGATGAAGAAGAGCAGGAACCCTCCTCGCTTTGAGAAGGAGCGATACGAAGGATTTATCTACAGCAACTCTGTCCCCGAGAGCATGATCCTCCGAGACAGAAGCACCAACCGGCCCTTCAGGGTCCGAGCTCGGGACGAGGACTTCGCCGCTGTGAGTGTTAAACCTCCCTTAATGTTCAATTTTCAACTGATACTTTTACTCCAGTCTCACCATTAATGTGTTGCTAATTAAAAATAATACAATTTAACTTTCGTCAACATGTATCTGAACTGAGGACAATCATTAAACATCATTTTAAAATGCTCTTAACGCTGCCCTAATCAATATTCCTACATTAACAATGGATCAAATGATTATTATGTGAAATGGATAGTTCATAGTGACAAAACCATAAAACAATTGTCACCAAACTCTGCAGTTCTTTTGGGTCTTTCAGACAATGTTTTGGTGGCAGTTTACAACCAACAATCAGCGTATAGTTTCCTGCTGTTTTTAGAGAACAACCTTTTAGAAAGCCGCTGTACACTACCTGCTCAGCAGCACACAGCAGGCAGACTCAGTTTGAGACCAGCTGGTGAACAAAGTCGAGTATTTAGCGGCTAAAGCGACAGATATTTCACTCAGGCTTTGGTGGAGACCAAAAACAGAGCTCAAAGAGAGAGAATATTGGAGTCACATTCATCACAAAGGTGTCAAAACAAATCAATTTATGCAGATTTAAAATTCAAAGACACCAAAAATGATGACAGGGTCGATAGCAACACCAAACTGTATGCGTGAGTCTTTTAATGCTGAAATAAAGAATACCGGAAACCAGAGGTTATCTTTTGAGTATTTATTCTCTGCGCAGAGAAGATTCAATCATCACAACAGAGTGCGTACAGTCTCAGTGAGGGAGAACCAAGTGTAATGTGAGCACGCTTTCTTTATACAGAAGGAGCAAAGGTGGGGGCCGACGTTACAGACATTTTGGTCTCAGACTGACAACAATGAAAAACAAGCGGCCATGCGGCCTTGGCGCTGGAACATTGTCATACAACACAGTTAGTTCTCTTTGCGTGCAGGCCAGGGTGAATTCTTCTTCTGCAACAATAAGAAAGATATATCTGGGCATTTTGGTACATCTTCTGTCCGTCATTGTGTTGGTTCTCACGCTATAATAATATAATGCAGACAAGAAGACAAGCTCAGAGACATCTAACATTTATTCTGCCGGTTCAGAACCAATCGGCAGGAAGAGATGTGTCACTCAGAAGCTGAATAGACAGATTTTCTTTTCCAGGAACTTTCACTAGATTGAAACAAACACGACTCCAAATGAAAGATATTGTTTCTCTGTGTCTTTCGATATGTCAACGACCTACTAGCTAAAACAATGAGAGCTGTGTTTAAGTGGGTTTGTTTGCTATCTGCCCCCCTAGTGGTCAGACATTAGTAAATGCAGCTTTAAATGGCGTATGATAATACCTCACATCCCTAAATCATTTAATTTTGTTGCATTTTATTGATGTTTTATTTGTGTGTCAGGGTGCGAATCCAGATGTGAAGTATGAGGTTCAGTACAGCAGCTACGTCAACGTGACCTCAGACGGGTTTGTGATCCTCAAGAGAGTCGTGAAGACGGAGTCCTTCGCGCTTCAGGTGATAGACGTGTAAACATTTTCAGATCAAGCACAATGAAATACCTTTGCATACATTTACTGACACTTGTTGTTTTTTAAGCGGTAAAATTGTTTTATTTGTATCTGAATGCAGCTCAGAGCCGTGGACCCAACGACAGGGGAGTTTGGAACAGCTGCCCTCTCTGTTCAGGTCATACCAGGTACAACCATCCCTGTCACTCTCTGTGATACTGACTGATGGTGCTGTAAAGTAACTCATTTTCTAAAGTACAGTACTAAAGTCACATTTGAGGGACTTGTACTTTACCCACGGCGTTGTCGTGGAAGCGTAGTGCCCACCCTCTTGTTCCCCCTCATGGTAAACACTGTCAGCACTGTTAGCTGCGAGCTGTGAGGATGCAATAGATATGCAATAGATGTGATATAGATATGCAATGAATACCAGAAAGAGATGTTGGATTGCCAACTGGGACATTAGGTCCGCGGGGTGTGCTTGGTCATGATGTATCGGTATGGTTGCTTTGATTGGCCAAAAAGGACGAAAAAGGACATTATATTGCACATTATGTGAAATCTACATATAATGAAATTTAGTTTATTCTACTGTACTGTTTTTATATTCAAAAAGGGAGCTCCAAGGTTATATTCATATCTGACCTGTCATATAGACCTTTCCTCATAGGTTAGTATTCCATGTTCATATGATTTTAGAGAAATTAAAAGGGAAAGTCACATTCAGAACAGATTTATAATTTCCTCAAATTTGCGCTTTTATTAAAAAAGTCATAAAAAGTTATCAAGTCGTAAAAAATGCCAGAAAAGTCATTAAAAAGTAGCCAATAAAAATGTCATATACAGTATGTTATAAAAAGCTCATAGTGTGGTTTGTCATGAAAAGGTCACAATGCTTTTAAAATGAAACGTGTAAACGTTCCCCCGTCGTCTTCCCGGTGCAGCCGTGGCCATCCCGTCTCCCTCAAACGTCGGCTACCGTCCGGGCGACATGGCTCTGCTGGGGCTGGTCATGGCGGCTCTGCTGGTCCTCTGCCTCATTGTGATTGGCTTCCTGATCTCCCGCTTGTGGAAGGGAAACGCCAGCATGGACAAAATATGCGAGGTCAGCATTTCTCTTGTTTTGGTTTTCCATGTCGTTTAGGTTCTATTGTTAATTAATGTGCTAGATATTAATCTCCCATATTAATGGAATAGTTTGACATTTTGGCTTTTATGTGTATGTTAATGAAAACAACAATAGTTTTAAAGGGAAACATCTTTATTATACAGGCTATTGTCAAAGTTTCTTTACAAAGTTATTATCAAACCTGTGACCAATTTTACATTTTTTGTTTATAACAAATTTTTATTTAACCTCAAGTTACACGGGAAGTCTTGTGACACATTCATCTCTTTAGAGAGCGAGAGACCATCGTCCTTTTCCTCGTATATGTATGTTAAGTATGGAGCTAGAGCTGGAGACGATTAGCTTAGCTTAGCATAAAGACTGGACACCGGATTGAACAGCTAGCCTGGCTCTTACCAAAGTGAAACATTAATTGAACACATTGTATCTTATTTGTTTAATCTGAACACAACCAGAAATACAAAAGCAACAATTTGTGTTTACGTGCTGCAAATTATTCTCGGTGAACATTTCCCCCTGCTTCCAGAATTTATGCTAAGCTAAGCTAATCGCCTACTGATATAGTTGTGAAAGTGAAAACTTTTGAATTGGTGAAAGGAATGTGAAAGAAAAACAACGTTTGCCTTTACAATGAATAATCTCTTATTTGTGCTGCGTTTTATTATTGTTTACATTACGTGTTCTGAGTATTTAACTTGCAACACATCTCATACACTTTAAAAAATAATTTCTAAACACCTTGTTTGGCAAGAAATACTACCTTATATAGATTTAGGGGATGCCACTGAATTTGGCATTTAAATTATTTTCTTCATGGTCAGAAACAATTTTTGTTCTGCCCATTTTTATAAAGAAACAGCCTTTAAATAATCGTTTCCTTTGAAGCTATTAATGTTTTTCTGCCTTCTAACAGTTCTGAAGCCTTTAATCTCGCTGCGTTTCAAAGCCACCTCCACACTGTGACGGTTTAGTCGTCACACAGACTCAGCTGCCTTTTCAGAGCTGCTCGTGTGTGGCTTTGATGAATATTCATCAGCTGAAATCCACAGAAGGGCTCTGTGTTAAAACAGAACAAATGAAGCTAGCTCGCTGTCGGGGGGAAAACCACGGTGGCATCTGCAGCATGGAACAATGCCCCGATATCCTCCATGCTTCATTAACTGCTGTATTAATGAGGGCCCTCTCTCCTTTGCCTGTAGTGTCTGGGGCCCTGCCTGAAGTCGGACCAGCACCAGTCCGGCCACAGGGACTCCCTGCAGTACACCAACGACGGCTTCCAGACCGAGGGCGACCAGAGCCGCAGGCGCACCTTCCCCCAGGCCCGAGGCCGGGTCCTCCCCATGGAGAGACGGGGCCGCCACTGCTCCTCCTGCGGCGTCCACACCAACAACATCCCCAAGGGGAGCCCCTCCGCGAGACCGTCCAGGAGAGGAAGAGGAGACGCGGACGACGAGTACGAAAAGAGGTCCATCCTCATCAAGCAGAGGAGGAAGGAGGGCCAGAAGACGGTGTGGTTCAAGGAGATCGGGGACTCCTCCGACATCGAGGTGGAGATCATCCCAGACACCGTGAGCCCCGTGGAGGAGGAGACGGAGGAGCAGCTGGATATGGAGGGGGTCGTCAGAGACCCGGCAGCCCCGGTGAGAGGGTCCGACGGCGGGCAGGAGAGCCAGAGCACAGAGCCCGGTGAGGAGCAGGACCGTGGGAATACCGGCTCAGGAAAGGAGAAGGGAGGCCAGGAGGAGGAGGGCTGACGGCAGAAGGTCAGAGGTCAGAGAATGAACCTGAGCTGTTTGTTTTCTTGTTTTGGAGACGACAGCCTGCGACAGGGAGGTCTCAGCGGTCCAGGACGACACGTCCAACATCTCTGGATAACTGGCAAACCTCAAGAACACATTCAAAGGTCCAAAAAGTATTTATTTTCTGCTGTGAGTATCTTAGAAGAAAGATCCAAGCTTCATGAAATGCTTAAAACATATACTTAGAAACGCTGGCACTCACAGATAAAGGGTCTCCCTATCACACAAAAGGAATGCGTGCGGGGAACCTTTGGATTTAGACAAACTGCTGGTTTGTTTACAACTCGACTTCTTTGTAGAAATGTCCTCATGTTTCCAGATGTCAGCAGTAAGTTCGATGAGTACAATGTTCTCATAACGGATAGAAACGAAGGTCTAAACTACTAAAATAACATCCAGGTTGTAATAAAGTCAGCTGAGGGCCATGTTGCAAGTCGATAAGCAACATCACTTTCTAATAAGGCATCATTTATAATAAGGGTTTATATGTTGTAATTAATGTTTCATTATCTACTGCAGATTATCTTCTCGAGTAATTGTTTCGTCGATAAAATATACATTTTCTAAAGCCAGATGTTTTGTGTTCAATAAAAACTCAAAGATGTTACATATTCTGTCATATGACAAGAAAAAAGCAACACATTGTCCTCTGGTTGTAACTAATGATCTATTAGCTGTTAACGAATCTTAACGCTTTATAAAGTACTTGTCATTGATCAAAACAACTAAGTTTAACTGCTCCCTCTACCATGCAAGGCAAGTTACTAACTACAGATTATCATCAGAACTCTTTCAGTCTAAAGCTTTAAATGTTAAGTTAAAATTAATAAATTAATGGATTAGTCCAGAAGGTCAAAATGATTAGTTGGAGCCTAAAGCAGACGTTCTTAATGACTTATGTGATCTATAAAGCATTAAAGGATTTATTAACCTTTAATAAACCCATTAGAATAGTATTTATGTTTCTCTTATATAAACAAAGATGCCTTATTAGAACGTTATTGTAATGTTGGATCTACTGGATTTTTTGCATTAATTTGATTTAGTGTTGATTTGTGAGGTATTTAATTTACTTGATCGAGAACAGAAAATCCCATCCGGTTTTTTTTTATCGTGTTTATAAAGTGAATTTTACAGACATTTACAGTATATATATACACACACACACACACACACACACATATATACACACACGATATAAAACTATCATGATAGATGTTTTAGTCACTTCCAGTCAGATCAGGAAGTCAGCTGATAACATGAGTCAGCAATAAAAGGCCAAACCCTGAGGAGTGATTTCTGTCTGCGGTGAACGAGGTCACTGATGAAGATTTACTAAACCGGACTTTATAGTGAACGATATTTGTGAAGACAAACTTTATCTACTGAATACTAAACAGCTGAGGGGACGTTTTTATGTAGACTGTATTTTCATTGAGAACGTTAAGTGAAATAACTACTTTTATGAATGAATCTTTGGTTAATGTACAGTTGACTTTTTGTACGTGTAAGTGATGAAGGGAATAATAAAGTTTGAAGGATTTGTTGAGTCTTGGGATCGCCTCGCTGGTACATCTAAAGTTTCACACTTTCAAAAACATTGATATTTAAAAATAAAAAAAAATAAAAAAGTTCAGTCTTTTGGGAAATGTGTGTCGACATGTTTAATCTGTTTAGTGCTCTTAAGGTAAGTTTTCACCATCTAAGAGGAGCTATTAACAAGACGCATCACCACTACTTTTAAAAACGGTTTATTCAGGCCAATCACATCAAGACATCTCAAAGTCAGTAGAAGAGGAACAACTTCCTCCTAAAAACAAATTACAATCCCCGATTTAAAAAACAAAAAAAAAAAAAAAAAAAAAAGGATCACTTTGATGTTTTAAAAAGGGCGACGATCCCTGATCGTGTTCACCAGTCACAACATATCAAGTCACCAATCGTTCACACACTGCTGGAAATCGTACACATTGTTGTGATCGGTGCATTTAGGCTCTACACACAAACATCTATTGCTAATTACTGTTCGATCGCGAAGCAACAGAAAAGGTGTGCAGCTCAGGTTTGTTGTTTTCGTAAAGCGTTGCATTTGAACATGTGGCTCCAGCGCAGGATGTGCTCACTTGGCCGTGGCGAAGCCCACCCTGTTGTTGTCCCGGTCGAAGACGGTGTAGTGCGGCCCGATGAATACATCTCCCAGAATCCACAGGGGCCCGGCGGGGGCAGGGATGTCCAGACCCATGAAGCCGCTCAGACAAATGGTCTTTCCAGCCTGACTCACCTGGATAATAAAGAGGAGAAAGACAGTCAGAGATGTTCTTAAACAGATGAAACAGAGGAATGAGTCATCACTCCTCAGACAACAAACCAGCTCAGCAAAGTAGAACAAAGCTGCACTGTTTAGTTTCTCATGACACAACACTCAGTCCACACAGTGGCTATTGTTGCTGAAGGAGCCACCTCTCTGTCGCCCCCTGCTGGAGGATAAACATCACCCCTCTCACAGGAAGTCTCACCTTGAGGACGTACTGCTCTCCGGTCAGAGAGTAGGGTTTGCCGCCAATGTTTAAGGTGATGACGGGCAGCGTTGGGACCTTGTCGCAGCTCACCATGTACTGAAACGACCAGAATACAAAGTTGTGTTAATGTAAAAATAAAACTGCATTGGACAGTGACACAGAACAAAAATGAAGTCAATGTAGTGAAACCTGTTAATAATTAGATGAAATGAAACATTGGAGAACATAATACAATAAAAAGTTATTGAACGTAGCCGTCATTACTTCAACACATGTAAAAAGACAGTCAATAAAAATAAAACAAGGATAATGGCTAATGTTATTCTATATTAATAGTGAACAAATCTAATACAAAAAGACAAGAAAAGTCTTTTTAAACGGAGCTCTGTGGCTCAGAAGAAGAGCGATCAGGCTTTGAGACGGGACGATACTCGTTAGTCCTGTTGTCTCACCTCTCCCTGGATGAGTGGAATGGCTCCGATGGCCTTCTGCAGGGCCTTGACCTCCGCAGAGGGGCCGGTGATCAGAGACGTCCCCGTGTCCACGATGACCTCACAGCCGTCCTTACACAGGCTCAGCTGGCCGCCCACCGACATCCTGGAACACAGTTAAGATTATGGTCTGTTTGACTCTAAATGGACCATAATGCACTAAATGAACATCATGCTGTATTGAAGAAGACTTGAAACTAGAGATTGAGACCATAAACTCATGTTTACAATGTTTACTGAGGTAATAAATCAAGAGAGAAGTAGAGTCATTTTCTCATAGACTTCTATACAACCAGAGGAGTCGCCCCCTGGTGGACACTAGAGAGAATGCAGCTTTAACACATGAAGCGTCAGATCCGGAGTGTGCCGCCAGAATTGGTTTCTGTTACTAAACACTTTTTAAATGGAATGACATGCTCACTGCCCTGAAACTAGAGTCCTACACTCTAATGTTCATGTGTTGACATTACACTCCAATCCTCGTTTAAAGTGTAATGTTGGAGCTCTCACCCGTCCATGCGGATCTGCCAGTAGGCCTGACGGGTGACGTTGACGTAGTTGAAGTCCCCGGTGTAGTATTTGGGGTCGGTTCCTCCCAGCAGCAGCTCACCGCCGGGCTCGGTGTCCGGGTTCCTGACGAGAGAGAAGACGGGAAGTTCAAGCTTCGTCACCACGGACGGAAAAACATCCGGATCAACGTCAGAGGATACAAATGTTTTAAACAAATTACAATAAAGCGTTTCTCATTTAACCCTCGTGGTGTCAAGACACGCAGATTGTTTTTGTATTTCTGAAACATCTGCGACCACAATGCAACAGTGTGTGTTCTGGTTACATTGGACTCTGTCAACCGATTTAGTTCAAGAAAAGTAAAATCAAAGCAAACAAAGTTTAAATCAGTTCCCTTTGGTACCAAGTTTATACATTATTCAGCAATTTGACTTTTTTTTTTTTTTTTTAAACGGTTGTCCATTTAAACATCCAGCAGACATGAAGCAACTTTAGCATTAATTTGTGCTTTTGTGTCCAATATTTATTCCTCCAACCTCAGATTCTGACAAATTATCTTTGTTGTTGAAAACGGTTGCAGAGTGCTCTGAGACTGAAGTACTCAATAAAAATAAAACTATTTATATTCCTGTATGGGCGACCTCTTTCACAGTCAAGTTCACCCAATGTTATTAATATATACATACAGAATGAGATCATGTCAAACTGAGATTGATGTCATGAATCAACTGAAATAAGTGTTTTTTTTTTAGTTCGTATAGCTCACACAGAGATGCAAAGGAATCGAGCATTAACAAGAATATTGGAAGACTACATTCAGAAGAGGAACAACGTGTTATTTGTTCTCTGATGTCACTAAATGTCCCGACCACATTAGTGAGAACGATCCATCTGTAACGCTTTATCTTCTTTATTGTCCAGCTGGGCAGGCAGAAAAATAAAGAAAAGCATCACCGTGCATGCAGCAGAGCAAATAGAAAATTGATGCCCTGGATGATGTTTTGGGTCAATAACCGGCCCAACAGGGTCCCAGGACCAGCGGAGAATCGGAAAGACACAAACAACTTCACCCGACTCCAAACAGCACATAAATGAGTCTAGTATCCGGCAGGTCCCACTTTGGTTTAGTTCCTGAAACAGAGAATTGACTTTGCATCCTACAGAAACAGACTGAACAGCAGCAGGTAATAACACGTTATCAAAGTCGGTTCCCCACCTGTTCAGGTAGAAGGAGAAGACGTTCTTCTCCACCTTCTTCTGGCTCATGATGTTGTCAAAGACCGGCGCCACCCCGTCCACAGAGATGCGTGGGTAGGCCATGCCGAGGATGCCGTCGAACTTGGCGGCGATGAAGACAACGCCGGGCTGCTTGATGGCTTCACCGAAAAGCTGCTTATCCACCGAAAGGGCGCCGATCTAGAAAAGCAATAATAAAATAAGGTTAATCAAGTGAAACTCCTCTGAAACTAGTCAACTAGTGGTGTGCCGGACCGTAGTCGATCCGTGAGGATTAATTACACAGTTTACCCATCACAGTGTGAAGTTAGTTATCGGATGATATTCAGTAAAAACATGCGATCAGGACATCAACAATTAATCTCTAACATTACATTTTAAACAACAAATCTGTGTTTAAATCACCAGGAGGAGAGCTAGTAATGGAGGCTCTGTTCAGTGTTATGATGCGTTCAGGCTCTGCTCAGTAAGAATGAGTACTCGGAGAAGGTGAATTATAACGTTATCATGATGTGTTCACATGTAACCTCGTAAAATACAGTTTTTGGTCACAAACTTAAAGAGAAGGAAGAATAGAATTATACTTTATTCATCCCAAGGGGAAATTTGTCTGTGGCAGCAGCAAACAAGGTTACACAATAAAATAAAACTATTAAGTATGGAAAATGCACAATATAATAAACCAGAGCAGGACCTATTCATTTTAAGGAAATAAAGTAAATAAAAATGCACAGTATATACACTAAATAGAATCGTATTAAAATAGATGCGAGATGTTTTCACATTAATATAAAATAGATATTAGAGATGAATTATGAGCCGTTTAACTTCCTAACACGAGCTCGAACCAGCTTATAATTTAAACTACTAGTGACAAGATTTCTTTTTCCAATAAAATAGAATCTTTTTCTTTCGTGCCGATCCGTGAGCATCTGAAACTACCGTTTGAGACGCGACCTCACCGTGCACGTGTCCTGACTGAGGTAGCCCGACAGACTGCCCGACCCATACTGGATGGCGAAGGCAGTGCCGTTCTTCACGTAGGTGCTGGACTTGGCAGAATTATATTTGTGGTGAAGCACTTTGAAAAAGATAAAGACAACAATGCAGAAATGTTATTTTACAGCCGACATGCGGGGGAGTGTGTTTTTGCGAGGACTCGAGTTGGACTTACAGCATGCGATGTCTGTGAAGGAGCAGTGAACGGAGGGAACCCAGAGGTTGGAGGAACCTGTGTCAAACACCACGGTGAAGAGCTGAGGAGGGGTACCCAGGCCGATCTCACCATAATACTGGGCCTGGACCAGAAAACAACAAGCGTGTTAACAAGCTTAGTGGAGAAGGAGCCCACCAGTAAATGCATCCATGTGGGAGAACACGTAATCCCCGAGCTGATCTGCTGTTTTCAGGAAGAGAGATTAGGATAATCCATCATGGCGGAAAAACGGGTCGTTTCTACCGACGGCAGAGAAACTGAGCCGGCCACTTCAGTTCAGAAGTGGCTTCACTAACTCAAGATAAAGGTTTATTCTCTACAGATAGTCCGCTGTAACAATAAAGCTCAGCACAACCAGCATGAATAAAACTGAAAATACAAGTGTGATCACGATTATCGATGGTGATCAATTAGTCTAGTTACAGCGTTTCAGTCATGAAAACAGTTTAAAACTTGCAGATGCAGGATTTTAAACTCCAGTTCAACACAGTAACAGTTTGAGGAATGTTTTTTTAAGTATCTTTGATGATGAGCATTCATATGACCGGCTGTGTGCTGATCACAAATATCACCAATGAGAATTCAGTTGTAGTTAATTTAATACGTTTTATTGCTCAAATAAAACATTCACATTTTAATGTGCAAATTAAAAGCCACATTTTTTGGCTCCACAATCTTTTAGATTAAACAACATTGTTTGATATTTTAGCATCATGAACTCAATAACCTTCATGTTCTCATCTAACAATTATAAATCGAGACCCTTATATAAATCTAAAAGAGGCCATTTGTATTTAAAGAATACTTCACTTATGAGGTCAGTCAGGATCCAGTTTACGGTTAATAAGCTGCACTTTAGCCCGTATGAGAGTCTAGAGACAACAACAACAACAACCAGGTCTCAAAGCTCAGTCAAGTTCAGACAATCTGATGAAGATGAAGAGGCCTCATAGCTGTTGGTATCAGCGAATGTCAGAAGGACGCAGGTCAAATAGTTACAGAGTCACGACAATAAATCACTCGCTGCTGTTTTTGTGTGACTCAACAAACGACGACTCAACAAACGTAGGAAGTGAAGCAAACTTCCGTTTCATGTGACTAAAAGTCACTCTGGTCAAAAACCTGACAAAAGTCAGGCTGCAGAGAGTTTTGTCGAGTCATCCAGGACTCTCAAAGTCTTCCTCTTTGTTTCTCTGAGCAACATTTGAAAGCTGCCAGATTTGTTGTGGCGGTGACTGCTTTGCTTAGATTACAGAGAATGAAACGCTTACTCAGCGGTATGTAGCGGTTCAGATGGTTTAGTTTGTATTTGACGTTTATTCCTTTAACTTAATGTTACGACAGTGAATTTCATTTGTGGCGCTCAAATCTAAGAGCAACATTTCTCGTTGCAGTTTTATCTAAAGCAGTAGTTAAGCTCCTTAAACAGTTTGACTTCTTCAAGCTGGACCGTGTTTCTGTGTCTACGCGACTAACGATAGTTTTAAAAAAGCCGTTTGTAGAAACACAAGAGGACCTTTGTAGCGCGTCTCTCTCCCCCCAGCTTGGCTCTTAGGCTTGTGAGCGCTGCATTGGGGGAAGGGAAGAAGACTTTAAAGGGTCCACAGGTCAGTGGTCTGGAGAGTGATGCTTACATCAAGGTAGTTCTTCAGGACCTCTGGAGTGGGTCCGCTACCGGAGGGGAAGCCAAAGTTGTACTTAAGGGAGGGCCGGTCGGCCAGGAGCTGCTCGGCCGTCTTCCCCGAGTCGGTCAGCTCACGTCTGATGGAACGGAATTTCTTTAAGGGAATTCTGAAAAGAAACAGACGGGGGATTTAGGACTTACTACAAAGCCAGATCCAGATCTCTGAATCTAAACATTTTTGGACAGATTCAGTGGAATTTGATTATCTGCTTAACTTAAAGTATAAACACAACTGCAGATCAGACCCACATTCTTCATGCTTATCTGCAGAGCGGTATCTCTCAGAGGGTTGCAGTATATTGTAGGCGCTGTGACACAACATCTGTGACCAGAAATGACCCCAATATGTCAATATTTTAAAAACGCATTCAGTTTAATAGCTACAATGAGCTAAAACCAATGCACTTTAATGCAACAGTCCTGGAATACATCCTACAGTTTGATGTGCTGTTGAACCGATTAGTCGTCGACTCTAATTACTTTAAATCGACTATAATTCTCTGATTCCAGCTTCTTAAATGTGATAATTTCTGGTTTCTTTCCTCTATGACGGCACACTTAATTTTTTAAGTGGACAAAAAGAAAATTTACATTTGAAGATGTCATCTTGTGTTTCGGGACATTTTCTATCGTTAGGTGCAGCCCTACTGTATTGTGTTATAAAGAGTGTTTGCTATGCATCATACCCTCATTGATATACAAGGGGTGGACAAAATAATAGAAACATCTGCAATTCAGTCTAAAGTTGAATCAAACCAGCTCCACAGAACCGTCATGGAGGATGATTTATCACAGGACTGCTGTATTACACTACATTAGTCTCACCCACCGACCTAATAACGAACTTACATCTATTATAATGAGTTCATGAAGACTCAACTAATAACAAGCAATATAAAAATTAAACAAAGAGCAAACTTCCTTTTTAAAATTCCTTCCATTGACATCTGACTCATATTGCAGACAGTATAAAGTTCAGTGCCTGTAAATGGACACCAACAAATCATGTGACAGAAACTGTTCTGGAGACACAAGATCACAACTATGCATAAGCATAGTCGAGGGCTGCAACGATGCACAATACAAGTTCCAGGAGCTTAGACTGCTTATCACCTACAACCACAATAAAGAATGATAACAAATATAGCACCTTTTCAAAACAAAGTGTGACAGCGTGCTTCACAATAAAAGCATTCAGCACAAACAAGGAGGCAGGATACTAGCAACGAAACATAAACAAAAAACATGTTTGATATTAGATTAAATCTACAGCAGCTGAAAAGTGTCTTAAGCTATTACAAATGCAGAGTGTGACTCAACTATAAGCTGGTATTAAAGAGGAGGAAACGCAGACATCCGGCCTTCATCAGTGTCACAATCAGCTAAATAACAACCAATCAGCATCCAGCATTGGAACAAGAGCAAGGGGGGGACCAATTTAAAGGATACTAATAAAAGTGTGACTGGTTGGGTGAGAGCAACAGTTAAAAATAATAAAGCATCATCCTTTATTTCCCGTCACTATCACATTAAAGTTTGGACTCATTATAGTCCATCACACAGACACAAGCGGAAACAAAGGCTGTAAAATAAAAAACAACCATCACCACAATGCTAGTAACTAAGTATTATATATTATACATTTCTTCCCCCACTGACTGGTTCTTCTATCACAACTCCAGTCTCAAGCTTTAACTGATAAAGATAATTAACAATTAACCGTAAAGAGTGCAAAATAAAATACAACAATAATGTCACACATTTAAAACACACCTACTGCATGTATACAAAGCAACCAGTTACACTACTAACCACATATGTAGTCCAGCAACCATTGCACTGCGGTCTTACCGTCTATACATGTCACAGCTTATATCTGTACATGGCAGTTACATGTTTAGCTTTTAACTGTGTTGTCCCTGTTTTTAGGTGCATGTCTCTTTCTGTGTGTTTGAACACATTGTGTATATGTATACACACACACACACACACACACACACACACACACACACACACACACACGTCCAATAAAGCTGGTTTTGCTACATATTTAACAGGATAAATCCTTAAACTACAATGAGGATCCACCACCAGTCTGATGAACTGGTTTCTATCACGAGCCTACAGAGAAGTGGTGGGATCGCAGCACAACTAAGCAGTTTAAAAGAGTCACGAGACCAGCTGTCCCCGCTGACACAGACGAGCTAGCATCTAAGAGCTTAGCATCAGTTCCCATACACCGTGTTCCTTTAGGCTCAAACACATTAAAACAACAGGCATATATTCCACATTCTTACCGAACAAGTGTGTCGGTGGTGAGGGCTAACGCCGCGAACACGACCAGGAGCAAGACCCTCATCGTGACAGTTAAAAGCCTCCTGGACACAACAATGACGGAGCGGTTCAGACTTGTTGTCCACAAACTGCCGACTTTTATATCAGCTGATTGGAGGAGCGGAAGCTGTTACTCCAGCGACGTCACTTCCGGCTTTTAGTGCAAGTTCTGATTTTCTTTCTTTTTTTATTGCACAATCAAAAAGGCACATGTATGGAGGACTTACCATCTCTTAGTTATGACTTACCATGTAATAATTATGACTTAGTATCTCATAATTAAGACTTACTATCATAATTATGACTTACCATCTAATAATTAAGACTTAGTATCTCGTAATTAAGACTTAGTATCTCGTAATTAAGATTTACTATCTCATAATTATGACTTACCATCTAATAATTAAGACTTAGTATCTCGTAATTAAGACTTAGTACCTCGTAATTATGACTTAGCATCTCATAATTATGACTTATTATCTCATAATTGTTATAAATAAATTATAAATTGTGAGAAATGTAGTCACATTTCTGAGCCCTGACTCCTTGACAGTTTGGTTTAACCTCAACTATATAACGATTACATTACAAATATTATTATTAATATGAAAAGAAGCAAATCTTCACATTTGTGAAGCTGGAACCACAGAATGTTTTTACATGACAAAACCATCAAAATAGATGCCAATTAATGTCTGTTAATTGTTTCAACTGTATTGTGTAGTTAAATTTATAACGAATAACGCTTCATATATTTTGTGAAAAAATCTTAAATTGTAAAAACTGAAGCTGTCAGATAAATGTAGTGGAGTAAAACATACAATATTTCCCTCTGAGATGTAGTGAAGTTGAGAGCGGCATGAAAAGAAAATACTCAAGTGAAGTACAGTTACCTCAAAATTGTACTTGAGTACAGTATAAATGTACTTGGTTACATTTCACCACTGGTTCTTTCACAAATATACTTCTTATTTCATTTATTATTATTCTGCCAGTAAAGCCATGTCTTCCACCAGGTGAAATATTCATTTGCTGTTGTTTCAACAGGCTGTTTGAGTGAGTAAATAAAATCTGTTTTGTAATGACGAGGACTGAACAGCTTGTGGCGACCTCGTCCCACAAATCAGAGACCACCATCCGGGGTTCTACCTCAGTCTACACATCACACTTAAACCTTTCTCTCATAAAACCTCACGGGGGGGGGGGGACTGAGCAATTAAAACATCACAATCACAGACAGGCTCTTTCTTCCTTTGTAACTTATCCAAATACTGAAAATCAAACATCTACAGATTTATTTAACAGCATGTCTGAAGTCTCACAGCACGACTGCTTGAAAAGTACTGCAACTGTAGATTTCACTAAAAGGAAAATAAAAACATGGAATTGCAGCAAAACACAAGACCTTAAACCTCATAATGAACACTTATCCTCAAACGTTCCTCTGTCTCCTGCTTTATGGGATCTAGAGGGATTGTGAGAAGAAATGGCATTCAAACAGCTGAAGATGATGACCTGTAATTTAGACGGATATGTTCATAAAATACAATAAATACAATACAATACATTAAGTTAGATTAGATTCAGTCCTGTTGTAGCGTATGAATCCCCCTGAATGTTACTCACTGTTCCTTTAAGTAAGGAGCAGATTAGCCTAGCTTAGCATAAATACTCTACGCAGAGGGAAACAGCTAGCCTTGCTCTGTCCATAGTTAAATCATAAATTGGCATTTTTACGTTTTTGAGGTGTTGATGGGCACATTTTGCCTCCAATGTTCATGACCACAGCGGTTGGGAATGAAACAAACCAAAAACATGTGAAAAAGATCAAAGAGAGAGGTACTGATTTCCTCATTCAACTTTCTGCAAAAAACAAAACATAAAAAAACGTTTCAGTGTATCAGCAAATGAAAATGACAAATACAATAAAATGCCCCAAAACAGAAATGAAAAGCCAATTAACTTCAGATCATGAGGGTTTGAACATTTCCAGATAAAGAGGTGTTAATTCATTTATAATCTTATTTGGGTTTTAGAAACCTAAAGGGTCCATTTTGCAGATTGTTTCTTCCTTTTATCACGCACACTCCAAAAACGAATTGTTATCATGTGGCTAATTCCGGAGAAACACATCTTGCAGACGCAGTAGAATGTTGTTCAAAGGATCGGATGACAGACAGCTTCCATTCCGACTACAAGAAGAAAACTCAACACACACAAAGCTTCAGTATATTTCCTGCTATTACTGTCATTTCTCTCATTACTGAGTAAGACTCGGGCGCATTCAAAAATGTAAATGTAACTTCTGACTCATGGAGAGTTTACAGTATGTATCACATGATGGTGCTAAATTCAAGCCAGCAGTGTTGTTAGAAAGTAATCCTGTGCTTAGAAATGACTGAGTCATGTTTAGGAGCAAGAGATAACACAAACACTGTTGGATTAGAGCCACATCTGTGGCATGAGGCAGTGAAATCACGTGTTTTGGCTAATTCGCCTCCATAAAACTGCTGCCTCTAAAATGTGTTCACAGTCCCTCCAGCAAGGCTTTTGATTATTACATTCAGCTGTGTCTGCAGCTTTAGATAACAGTTATTTATACTAACATTCACAGCCATCATCAGTCCTGCAAAATGTATTATTGTATAGCTGAATTGTAAAAAAACAACCATATTGCTTCGCTGTGACAAACACACTCTGGTGCTACGTTGTTTTATGGTGATAAATTGTTTTAGTCGTGTTTGCAGAATGGATTTACTTTGTTATGGTGATGATATAGTTAGTTATTTGTTGTAAGTCAAAATGGTGAGATATTAAGTCAAAATCTTGACCTATAATCTACGACATGATGTCAGATCTTTTACACCAAACATAACTACGTCATTCATTTTGAGATAGTAAAGTCAACATATTATTAATTATCATTAAGTTAAAGCTAAACAAATGTCAATGTTGGTCCATGGATTGTCATGATATTTTGCACAGAAGTTCATTAAGTCTAATTAGTGATACCCTGACTTTTTATTGTGTTTTTAAGTGAAATTTCTCAATAACTAAAAATGGATTAATATATTTTTTGCTACAGACATTTGTGTTGCCTCTATATATATATTATACATTTTTCAAAATTAAATTTGTCGAATTGAACGTCGAGGTGAAAACTGAACCTGAGTTTTGTCCCAAAAATAAAAAAAGCTTGGTATGAAGTTTATTCAGGTTTTGGTGGCCTCTAATGAACCCTAATTCCAGTAAGCTCATACAGACATGACTGTAATAATAGAACAACATTGAGTCCAAACAATTCTTATAAAGTAAATTGGTTTAAATATATTGTCAATTATGTGACATTATTTATCTACAAGAGGCAGACAATGTTATGTATACACCTAAAGGCAAAGGACAAACTTTGAATCAACTAAATCAACATTACAAAGCTGTTTCATACAGCAGGAGGCTGACTGGCAACAAATCAGTTTGGACGATCAACATATTGATGTGAATTTTTAGAGAAGCATGAGTCGACAAAGTTGCAAACAAAGCAAATCACATGAGCCCAAACTGCAAGAGCAGCATCTGAAAATAAAAAAACCCCTGTAAAATACTTAGTGTGCAGATGGCAAAGGTCGAGAAAGTCATGAGAACATTTCGCAAACAAAGATAAAAACAAAGAGGAACATGGGTCACAAGTTGAAACTAAGTGATGGGAATGTGGCAGAACAATAGGGAGTTGAGAAATACTGATTGCAACAGTGAATTATTTACCGATCATATCTGCTGATCTGATTGTGTTTTTGTCTTACAACTTTAACCCTTTCTCAGTGTGTTTTCACTTCATGAAAGTTAATTGTAACATTTTATTTGCCTAAAAATGTCTCATTCAGCAGTCGGTTCCACTCGCTTGTGTTACTTCTAGTTGCAAGAAAACAAGATGTCGACGGTTTTGAAATGTAGTCCACAAACCAATGGGTGACGTCACAGTGACTATGTTAACCTCTTATATACAGTCAGGAAATCAATTGTCAACAGTTGCCATTTGTTCCTTACATGTTTCGAGATGACTGTATAAGCTCAGGTAATAACCAGGTTTGAACCCAGATGTACAACTCATAGCTAAGCACAATAAACCATCTGGGACGGTAGACTATCCTGCAGCGCCGGTGAGGACGGGTGAGCAGGCAGGCTGTTCTCATTTACTGCTCCTGCCAACAAAAAAACAATGCAACATAGTTTGTATACAACCCACGAAATCCTGTTGGGTAGTAGCATGTTGCTCAGCGAGAGTAATACAGTAATATAATGAGTAACATATCTAATTACTTTTGAAACCAAAGAATGAGTAAAGTACCATCGTTACTTTTTAAAGGAGTAATAAGTAAAAATAAATTAATTACACTTCCTGACTAACTTGCCCAGCGCTGATCGAGGAGCCAGGATGGGCACAAGTGCTGCTAAGGAAGTCAGGTGATGTAGTATAAAGTGCACAGGACTTTCACCCAGGAGGCCGCTGTTCGTGTCCCCTGTAAAAGCAAAAGTTAAAGTTGACTGTTCATTCTAAACAACAATGGCGGCTCCTGAAAAGGTTAGATGCTGCAATAGCATCAGTTATATCAGAAACCTTTTCCAACGACGGCTTCTCGGATGGTTCTGTGTATACAAACGATCTGGTGGGTCAACCCCATCCAACACCTTTATGAGGAACTGGAAGAGTGTGTGTGTGAGTGAGTGTGTGTGTGTCTGCATAGGTATGAGGCTGTGCCCCTTTTTTAAAGAAAGTGAGGAAATAGAATATTCTCAGTTTGCATAATCCGGTTGAAATTCATTCAATTTATATATACATATTTTTTGCTGTAAAATGTTTTACTGTAAAATGACAGTAAATTACTGGCAGCACTTTTGCCAATAAGATACAATTATCTACCGCATCAAAAGAATACCACAACTGCAATCAAAGGATACAGCAATTGGCTGTAAAAAAATACATAAAAATAAATTACAGTATTTTACTGGCAGCAGTTTCACCAGCAAGATAGTGGACAATTTACAGCAGCTCTACTGTATCAGAGAAATACAGTAAATTATTGTAATTAAATTGTACACACATTTTTCAGTGGT